AGTCCAATAAAACCTGGAATGCCAATCAGGGTATCCTTCAGATTGTTTAATTCAACCAGTTCCATCACCTCCCTTACAAAAATCCACATAATAAATTTTAAGCTTTTGTTTAATTGAACCTCTAAGCCATATGATAGAGTTTATCTTGGAGACTGAAATACTGCTGAAAAATATAGATAACCTACTAAATATGTGACACATAGAAGAATTTTGGTCAAACAGATACTTCTGAATCAACCACCCTTAGTTAATTTGTTCAACTCCTTTTCAGACATCTGGATATTCTTGCTAGCTTCCTTACCCAATCATTTCTCTGAACATGGATTAAACTAATTGTCTCTCCTTGAGCACACTTACTCTGACATATAACAGGTCTCTGATAGTGTCCAATGGCCTTGTAGGAAGATGGCCAACTTGTGATGCAATTGGATTTACATCTTCCCCATTAAACCTTCTAGAATATCAAATAGAACCTATCTGTAAGTCTTGGTGTATTTAAATGGTATAAAAATAATTAATGATTACTGATTTGATCAAGGACAAGTTTTGAACTATAAAATTAATGGTTTGGACTTGCAGGGTGTTGTTGAGAGTGTTCTGGAACGCAGTACACATGTGCAGCTAGCAGATGGATCAATTGTTTAAATTGATGATCCATGTAGGCAGCTATTACTGTTACGACTAATAGAAATGTGTTCAAAGGGATTGCGTTGCTTGGGTTTGGCATATAAGGATGACTTAGGAGAGTTCTTAGACTACTATGAAGAGCCATCCTGCACACAAGAAGCTGCTTGGTCCTGTTAACTACTACTCCATTGAAGGTAACCTAGTTTTTGTAGGGGTTGTTGGTCTTAGAGTGAGTGCTTCTAGAACATTAGTTTGGATTAGTTGCCAATAGCAATATTGTAAATGTTGATTCTATTTTCTGATTGGAAAATAGTGGTACTGCTTGGTATTTCATTTATTCATGACACATGTGCAAATTTGTATTTGTAGTAGATTATGAAAGGTTGGTCATGTTGATTTCTTTGGTGTATACTTTTATTTGAGCAATCAGTGATCTTCAGAGATATATATCTCTTCTCCAAAAGTAATCAGAAGATAAAGCCACTCAGTCTAGTGAAAGATCAAGTAATTTGGCTAAAATAAGTGAAGCTTGTTTGAAACTTACTAAAATAGAAGAAGAAGAAGAAGAAGAAGAAGAAGAAGAGATCTTGGAATCTTGAAGCCCTTAACTGTGGCAGAACAGATCTTGGTACAACATCACATGCATAACCAATTTCTGAACCCAACACCCATTTCAGAAACCAAAATGTTAAAATTCTATCTTTTGTGTTCTCAGTTGCCACCGGGGCCGTGTATGGTTTGTGAAAAAGTAGGATGCACTCAAATCAGTCCCCTTTAAAACTTCAAAAAGCAAATACACCACAAGTTATTTGAAGAGAAAATTGAATTTAATATTTCATTTTGATATTGATGTCTTCATGCAGCAAGAAAAAAAAAAAGAAAACTTGATTTAGATAAAGACCAATTAGACAATGACAAAGATAAGAAAACTTAACAATCCAAAAAATTCATTAAAGCACTCCACTATGTCTATTCCCTTATTTGTTTAATCTTCTCCACTAATACTGTCAGATTCATCATCTTCATCATTTCCTTCACCCAGCTCAGTGTCATCCTCATCATTGGTGTCATCTTCATTACTAGTACTCCACTCGATGTCTTCTTCATAGCTATCACCGGACCCAACATCATCATCATGATCGCTACCAAGCTCAATATCATTAATGCTCACATCCCCTCCCACATTAAATGGTAAAGGTGCATCAACTATTAGCCCGTCTACATTTTCCCTGGACCAACTATCAACATCATCATCAGCACCTATAGAGTCTTCAATAGATTGATTGTCACAAGGTTGACTCTGCAAGTAATTCTCAACATCATCCATTGGTACTTCCTCATGCATATAAAACAAGTATCTAGGTTTTGTCCTAATAACAATATGCCAATTTGTATCGATGGGATCTTGAACATAGAACACTTGTTCAACTTGAGATGCAAACAGAAAGGGTTCTTCTGACAAATGTTGATCAGTATTGGAAAAGTCGTGTTAAGTTCACAAGAGTGAACCCCAATTCATCTGTCTTGATTCCTCTACCTTAGGATAAAACATCTACCCAATTGCATTTGAACATTACAACCTTCCATCCTCCATTGTAGTCTAATTCAATGATATCAGTTAAGACACCATAATAAACTACATCCCCAGAAATAGGTTTTATATCGTTTGCACTTGAAAAGCTTGATGTCTTGGCAACTAAAACAACCCTACTGTTTTGTGTTATTCTTTTCTTCTCTCGATCCTCTATGTGGAACTTAAAACCATTTATAATATAACCCTTGAATCTCCTCACAACCCTATTTGGACCTCTTGCAAGCGATCTTATTTCCTTTGACACTTGCTCACCATGTCGATGCAACTGATCAACCTATTTAGATACAAGATAGATTAATTCAAACATTTGATCTATGTACAAAGTAACATGGTAAAACATAAAACATTTACATAGTCCCTAAACCATGCATGAAATGTGTTATTATGAATGCATTCTACTTCTCTTGGTCGTACATGACGGAACTGCTACTTAATTACTTTCATGTGTTCCCTACATATAAATAACTATGAATAATTAGACTAAGGCTATATTTTCTTGTAACTTGACAAAATGAACAAGATGTGACATCTTACTCATAGAAGGGCTGAAGTGATTCATAATTAAATAACACACCGGTGATCCTGTATTAATGAAGCATTATCTAGTTCATCTACCTCAGCCTTCCCTAGAGCACGACCTCTTTGTAAAAAGATAGATGGTTGTCCTTGAACAACAAGATTGCTTTGGTCGTCATTGTGAAAGGCCAATTTAATCTTGGTTCTACACCATTTAAATACCTTGAGCAGAATGTCAAACACTCTTTTGCCAAATATCCTTCTGCAATTGAACCCTCAGGCCGACTTCTATTATGCACGTAAGATTTCAACGAGAGTAAGTACCTACAATTGCAAAATGTGATTAGTTAGGAAATGAGTCATCCCTTGATGGATATTATATAATTATTAAAATAATAACACACACCTTTCAAAGGGATACATCCAATGATACTGTACAGGACCAGCAATCCTCACCTCGTTAATTAAGTGTATGGGAAAATACATCATTACATCAAAAAATGCTGGTGGAAAAATCTTCTCCAAATGGTTAAGTGTAAGTATAATCTGAGATTCTAGTCGATTGAACTCTTTTATATGCCCAACTTTTGAACACAACCCTCTAAAGAAATGGCATAGTTCAATCAAAACTGAGCTTACATTTTTAGGCATTATTCTCCTAATGGCCAAGGGAAGAAGTTGCTGCATCAAGATATGACAATAATGGCTTTTAAGCCCTGAAATATTGTGCTCTTTCACTGACACGTCGTGAAATGCTAGATGAATATCCATCAAGGACTTTGACATCCCGTAACACCGTGCAAAAGACTTCTTTCTCACTTGGTGTCACTGTAAAGCATGCTAGAGACAAATACAACTTTCCCCTTGGAGAAGGTATTGGGTGAAGTGATTGTCTTATACCCATATCCTGTAAATCAAGCCTTTGCATTATCCTTTGTTTTGTCCTTTATATTCAACAATGTAGCAACAATACTATTACACACATTCTTCTTATGTGAAAACCTTATTTAGTCCTAGGTTACAATAGAGAAGAAGGAGAAGAAGAAGAAGAAGAAGAAGAAGAAGGGTTTGGCCAGTAGAGGAAAATCAGTCCTCTCTAGTCGACCCACTTGTACACGTAACTTAAACTTAAATAAAACAGACCTTTCACTCTCAAATAGATAAATTCAAATGACCAAAATACCCCTATTTTATATACTCTAACAGGCTCCATGCGATGATTTTCATGGTAATGGACCAATGAATTAGGGGGCAAAATAACCACAATTGAATGTGAGAATTTGAGAGGCGTACCTGTGAACACTGGTGGGAGGGTGGCGGTTGAGGTAGAAAGTTGGAAGTGTCTGCGAGGAACAAGGTTGATTGGTCCATACCACAATGGTCCACCGGGAATATAGTGGCAGCCATCTGAATCTGTGAATTAGCGGCAAGTTGATTCAGCTGGCTCTACGGGAGGGGGTGCTCCAAGGACTGGTCTTCTGTAGGCAACGATGGGAGATGTGGCAATGTAACTACTGTTTGTGACAAGACCCTTTCCGGTGGGGTGGGATGCAATGGCCTGAGAAATAATCAAACATTTGTTTTTTTGCGGACTGCCAACAACATGTTGGATGGCATGTCCATATGGTAAGTTTTCGGTCTACCACGACGCCTTTTCCCTGCCATGAGATTCATGATACCTAGACCACCGATCGAGTTTAAATGGCTTGGCTCAACTGCATGCATGCATGCAGGCAGAGGGGCCCTGCCTTGCAAATCCTTATACTAGTTATTTAAATTTTACATATATTTTGCCCGTTTTTTTATTTTTTGGCCCCCCTATCCATATTATTACACTTTGGCCCCTCTGAATAAAAAATCTTAGCTCCACTCTTGCATCCAGAGACCCAATCTGCTCTTCACTCACTAGCACTTCACACTCACTCATCTTCTTCACGAAAAATGTTCCTAATACTAGGTATACCTGTGAGGCGCCGATTTGTGAGGAGCAGATCCCGTCATGCATGGTATAGTAGCGTTGTGTTGCCAACCAAAATGCAACGGCAAGGCAAAAGGGCACCTATTATGATTTAGTTGTCTCAAACTCGGTCTCATTTTCTTGGTAGACCGGGGCCAGGTATCGATCAATGGCGGCTATCCTAGTTTGACTGGGAAACTTTGGTGGCACGTGGCAAAATTCCTTAGCCCAAGCCCAAGCCCAAGCCCAAGCCCATGCCAAAATTCCTTAACGGCTGGTCCAGAACTTGCCACCCAAACCTTACGAGCATCATTCATTACGTTATTTCGACATTTCAGCTAAATAGGTCCCCCCGGAAGCCCGGAAGTCCAAAAATCGGAACCGACATAAACTGTGTTCTTAGCGGGTAGCTCTTTCCTTGAGTCTCTGAATCAGAGCTGATTGAGGGATTGATCTGCAGATTCTGCATTTGTGACTCGACGCATTCTGTTTGTTTCTCTGTTGACATTGCGATACAATGAGAAGGGCTCAGAGTCTGACCTCTTATGTAGTCGGACGAGCCCTGGTTCCAGCCCATGAGGCCTGGGGCGCCACCTCCTCTTCCTCTGCCACTGCAGGCGTTCAACACAGGCTTCTCCAGGCGTCTCTGTACAACAGTAGTAGCAACTCATCTGGTCCCTCGAGGTTGTTCTCGCAAAGCATAGCCGCCTGCCTCGGGCGATCCACTCGAGCCATATCTCTCGGCCTTGCCGGAGCTGTCTCATTCTCTGTCGCTGCTTCTGCAGTCGTACCGGAGGTGTACGCCAAAGAACAACTCTCATCTGGGTTCCGTCCCAAGGACGTTGTCCTTTACCAATATGAAGCTTGCCCTTTCTGCAACAAGGTCAAAGGTACTTCCTTTTCTTCCACCACCAACTGCCATTCATGTTATTTCGTTGAAGTCATGAATTGTTATGCATGCACCGTGACAATGGAATAATAGGGCAAAACTATTTTTACCTTCTTTTTCAGGATCTTTTTATTAAGTAAATTTGGTTGTATAACTTCAAGCATTATATTGTCTCAGTAGGAATTAATGGCGCTTTACTACATATATGTTATCAATAAGTAAATGTTTTATTTTCCAATACGACCAGGAATCATGGGTTGACACTTGAGTAGTAAATAGATGGTGAATTTATATCCATGGTAATATGATCTCTAACCGTTTGATTGAAGTGCACATAGAGGAGTTAGGGGCTACATGTATAGAGAATTGGAATGAATTTAGTAATTTAACCTTCACTGGATTTTAGCTATGAAGTGCGGAGGGTGCTGACATAAATGCCTTAATGTAATATATGTAGGTTGGCAATTTCTTTTTTAGCAGCTTTAAAAAAATTTTCTTTTTGTTAATTGGATTATCAGTTCTTTGGTAATGTTTCCTTTTCTTTTTTACTTTCTTCCAGCATTTTTGGACTATCACGACATACCATACAAAGTTGTGGAGGTGAACCCCCTCAATAAGAAAGAGATCAAATGGTCGGATTATAAGAAGGTGCCCATATTGACAGTTGATAGCGAGCAGCTGGTTGATTCATCAGGTTTTGCTTTGTATTTCCCTTCTCTTTTACTTCTTTCTTACCCAAACTTTGATTCTTTGATTTTTGGTAGGAATTTAGATGATAATACAGTTTATATTTCCAAGGTTTTATTTAATCAGTTTTGGCTTTCCAAGGTATCAGGCAGAAAGCTCAGTAAAAGCACATTCAATTTTTATCAATAACACATTCAGATCTAGAGATTTGTTTTTCTTTTGCCATAATGCCATTGCCTCTAAAACTTGATGTTGATGTTTGTGCAGATATAATTGACAAATTGGCCCATAAGATTGACCCCCAGAAGTCTGTTAGTTCTCTTCCTGATGACGATGAAGAGAAAAAATGGCGCAGGTGTGGTTCTTCTGTTTCTTCAGGTTGAAAATTGCTTAGAGTTTTATAGAAATAGAACTTACTCTTTTTCTCAGAGTCTATCCCTACAATTTTTAGTCATTTAATGTTCACATTTGGAAACTGAGAGTGGTTATGACTTAAACCTTCTAAATGCTTTTAGTTGATAAATATAAACTCATTTCATGTTTTTTGGGTGCACTTCATATTTTTTGGTAACATCACCAATCAATGGCTCTGATTGGGTTTACTCTTTCCACTGTGTGTTTAAGTGTTTTTTGAAGCTTATCATTTAAGGTCTAAACAATAAACCTAACACCTTATGACACTGGGAAGCTGATAATTCATGTTTCCACAATGCAGGTGGGTTGATAATCACTTGGTGCATATCTTGTCACCAAATATATACAGGACTACTTCTGAGGCCCTTGAGTCCTTTGACTATATCACAAGCAATGGTAAGAAAAATATCATGGTCTTATGGTCCTTGTTTCTCAGATGATATTGCAAAAGGGCTTTGTGTTTTCCTTTTCTTCTTATTTCTGCTGTCTCCGTGATATATCTCACAAATTAAAAGATGTATCAGTAAACATTCGAAATTGTAGAAAATAATGTTCAGGTTGTTCCACTCTTTGGAGATGCTTATTTTGTTTTTGACACTACGGCAAGGAGTTTGAATTATTACTGAATAGAAGCATGATTCAGTGAGTGAACCCATTAAATGGAATATCTTTGTTGGAAAAAAATTACATAATTAAATGAAATTATTAGTTTGCAATACAATAAGCTTTTGATCAGTTATGTGCTAATTTGGTTCATAGCAAGGGAGAGATTGAGGAAGATACCATCCATAGAATTAGAGTATGCTGGGAAAAATGGAGGGCTGAAGGAAAAATCTATTGAAAAGTTGTAACGCCAGCTATGCTGTATGGAGCAAAGTGTTGGGCAGTCAAGAGACAACATGTCCAAAAGATGTGTGCAGCAAAAATGTGTATGCTGAGATAGATGAGTGGAAAAAATAGAAGGGATAAGATCAGAAATAAAGTCATATTCCAAGGAACCTAGGAGTAGCTCCAATAGGTGATAAAATGATAGAAAGTAGACTTGGATGATTTGGTTACATGCACAGAACACCATCAATATCACTTGTAAGAAGAAGTGGTTTGTTGCTAGCTGAAGGGGCTAGAAGGGCTAGGGGTAGACTAAAAAGGACATGGATAGTAGTAAGAAATGATTTAAGCGCCAATTATTTAACGATGGATATGGCATTAAATAGAATGAAATGGCAAAATAGGATTCATATACCAGCCCCCAGATAGTTGGTATAAGGCTTGGATGATGATGATGATGATGATGTTCTAATTTTTTTTTTTTTATTGGAAACGCTTCATTAATACAACTTAAGCATAACTTTCTAGAATTAAGTACAACTGTCAACCCCTAAACAGGTGTTGAGCCCCCGGTAATCTTTCTTACAAAACTACCCATAACATTCCATCTCTCATAGTCCCTTGTTTAGCCAACGTGTCAACTAAACCATTAGCTGATCTCCTTGTCCATTTGAAGCATGCACCAATCTCCCTTGTGTTGAGGATTTCCCTTATGGGCTGTCTATAAATCTAGTCTCCCAACTTACCAGATTGCAGCCACTCAATCAACAATTTAGAGACTTCCTTTATCTCAATTTGGTGTAGCCCCAACTGTTTGGCATACTTTATACCTTGAAGCAAGGCCATCACCTTTGCTCTCAAGTCTCAATGAGTCCCCCACTCCTATTGGCCCTGAAAACATAGCCATGATTCTGCCATTTTCATGTCTGAATACTCCTCCTATACCTGAAGGGCCCAAGTTAACTCTAGAACTCCTGTCAAAGTTCAGTTTCACTCTTTGTTGTGTTGGTGGGGACTATAATTCCTGCATAGTCGGTTTTATGGAAGTTGTAGATGCCACCACTCCCCAATTCCTATAAATATCTTCAGCTGAGAAGTCTTCAAACAAATCTAAAGTTTTCAACCATTGAATAGTCATAATGGTTATTCTTTCTACAATTTCCTCCTTGGATTTCTCCATTCCTTTAAAGATCCTATTGTTCCTTTCTTCCCAAACTGATCATAAGATAGCTGCTCTTGTGGCTCTCCACATTAATCTTCCACGTCTCTTCAGTTTCCTAAAAAAGCTTGGGTTAAAAAGGCTTGCCACGTCCGGGGGAGGTGTCCACCTGCAACCAAAGATAGAAGAGAACCATGCCCAAATAAAGCACACAAATGGATAAGAAATTAATAGGTATGTGGTTGTCTCACTAGAGCCCAAACAAAGGCTACAAACATGGGGTGATAGGCATAAATTTGACCTTTTTCTTTGCAACATATCTAGACTATTGATTTTTTTGGAGATCCACTTCCCAACAAAAAGCCTGAATTTTTGGGGGTACAAGCCGACACCAACCTCCTTTGAAGGAAAGCTCCTTGTAGGGTTTGTTGACTGAATTAGGACATCAAAGGAGGAAGAAGTGAACACGTTAGATGGAGAAGGTTTCCAAATTCTACTGTCCAAAAAAGATTGATCCAGATAGGTTGACCCTAAAAGGTTAACTAATTCATCCACCATTGCCAATTTCCAACTGCCTTAGACCTCTCCTCAAACTTAGGTCCCAAGAATTATCAATAAAAATTGAAGAGATCACTTTTCTTTTATTTTTTATAGTGAATAAATACTACGGAACCTTTCACTAAGGGAAACCTCTCCAACCCAAATATCTTCCCAAAACAACACTTTGTTTCCTACATAGGCATCAAATTTGAAGGAAGGATGGAAGGTAATATACCATGAATAGCTTTCCAAGGAGAGCATCAGGAAACCCTAGGGTCAACTCTTGCATCCCAATCATTGTCTGTCAATCCTTGAATACTAATAATCACTCTATGACGAAGTTTGTCCTATTACAATGACAATTTCCATAACCATTTCCCCAATAATGCTGTGTTTCTTAGCCTAATATTTCCTATTCCTAGGCCTCCATCTCTACTTCTAGAAACCACTTCCCACTTCACTAGATGGTCTTTTTTGGTGTCTCTTGGTTCCCAAAGGAAGTCCCTCATAATCTTCTCTAGCTTGTTTGCCACTTTCTCCGGTATTCTAAAGGTAGATAGGAAGTACATTGGTAAGTTAGCCAAAGTTGACTTTATTAGGGTTATCCTACCTCCCAAAGAAATGTAGTTTCTCTTCCAATTCGCAAGTCTCTTTGTAAATCTCTCAATCACTAGGTACTAGAAACTATTTGTATTTGGATTTCCTCCCGATGGCGGTCCTAAATATTGCAATGGCCAATCCCCTACTCCACACCCCAAGAGTCCAGCTAGCAAAGTCACCTTTTCACTCCCTAAATTTACTCCTGCCACACAATTCTTTCCCCATTTAATTTTAAGGTTGGAGATCCTTTCAAATTTATGGACTATCATCCTTTTTAGGTTCATAAGTTCTGCTTTCCCCTCACAAAACAAGATAATATCATCTACAAACTGTAGATGTGCAACCACCACTTCATCCCTTCCAACTCTCCAGCCTCTAAACATATTGTTAGCATTTGCCCTTATGATTAATTCATTCAGCACATCAATTACCAGAGTAAAAGGGAAGGGGGAGAGAGGGTATCCTTGACTAAGGCCCCTTTTGGTAGGAAAAAAACCTCTTGCTACTCCAATTACCAGAATTGAGAAGTGACATGAAGAAATGCAACCCTTCACCCATTTACACCATCTTGCTCTGAAACCCCTCCACTTAAGAATACCCAACAAAAACTCCCAGTCTACGATGTCATGAGCCTTTTCTAAGTCCAATTTACAAACCAGTGCCTTTTGCTTCTTCCTTCTTCTAAACTCTACACATTCATTGGCAATGACAATTTGATCCATTATTTGTCTCCCAAACACAAAAGCCCCTTGATTTGGAGAAATCATCGAGGGAAGTACATATTTTATTCTTAGGGCTAAAACCTTGGAAAATGATTTTGCACATGCTTCCTATTAGACTTATGGGCCTAAAGTCCTTCGGTTGGATTGCATCCACTTTCTTCGGTATCAAAGCGATGGAAGTTGCATTTGCACCCAAGTTAAATTTGCTCCTCTCATAGAATTCATCAATTTGGTTGCCGCCTTTTCTTGAAAACCTTTTCTTTTTTTTTTTCTTATTTAATTGGAGAATAATTGGTGGGTTCCTGTAACTCCTTTGTCTTGCCGGTGAAGGGTATTTTGTCTGAAGTTTTGATGGAGCGTAGAATCTCTTACAGTAGATTAGGTGGAGGGAAGCGAAGATGGGAAGCCTCCAACTGGTACCGCAGACTAGAGATGGAAGGAGGGGCTAGGTGCAATCTTTCTTACAATGAAGTGGTGGTTGCAGGGATTTGGCCTGCTCGTGGGGGATCGGAGGTGAAGTGGGTTAATGGTAAAAGGGTGGTTGCTACGGATCCTCAGGGGGTGAATGCGAGAAGAGAGTTTTTGAGGAACTGCTTGGTGGGCAGGTTTCGTTAGGGGGAGGAGATTAGGGAGGTAGAGAGGTGGGAAAACAGATTCTAGTGGGAGGTAGGGGGTGTGAGAGTGAAGAAAATGGTGGACGGACTTTTTTCTCTTTATATATCCGTCGAGAGCTGGTGCGGAATGGGTTCTAAGGCAAGGTCCTTGGCAGTTGGGGAGGAACCTCTTTTTGCTGGACTGGTGGGGGGCGAATGCGGGATGTCATTACTCTGACCCTTTCGAAGTTGGAGAGGACCTGGAGTCATGTTGGATTAGGGTTTTCGGCCTTCCACCCTTGCTCTGGTGCCCAAGTGTCATAAGGGCTATAGGGAATGCTTGCGGGGGTTTCATAGAGATGGATGATTCCTTGTTGGAGATTGCGACCTGTGAGTGGGTAAGAACGAAGATCCGCAAGGGGAACCAAATCCCGAACAAGGTTGAAGTGGTGGTGGGGGAAGTGGCCTTCACTGTTCAGATCTGGTAAGAAGTTTTGTCGTTTGTTCGAAGATGGAGAGGTGGAGAAGAGCTGTCCTGCGATGTCCAGAAGGAAGACAAGGAGTGTTCAAACTACTCCAAAACCTTGGTCCTGGAAGATTGTGGCGAAAGTGAGCTCCCCTGTTTTTCTGAAGTAGTGCGATACAAGAAGACTGTGACCCGAGGTGCTTCTCCAACGACCGATGATAGAGAAGATGACGCAGGTTTGGGGGATCCTTTGAGCCGTCCGATCTTGGCGACTTTGAATTGTCCAGATGGGCTCACCTAGGGTCCAGCTGTGAAGGAGATTCAAAATTTAAATCTGGGGGGCAGCGGGTAGGTTTTGGGAGATGAAGCCATTAAAGACTTAATTAGAGAGTGTCTTGCTGAGCTCCAACTAGCACCTTGGGAAAATCTTGCGCTAGTGAGTCATCAAAAGGTCTTCCAGCCTCCCCTAATTGAGTCTCACGGGGCCC